ACGCCGTGACTCGGCGATCTGAGACCATTTTCTGTCTCCCTAGCAGCGCAGTAAGGACGCCACCCCGGTCTGACGGGGGGGGGGGGGTAAAATCATAAGGGTGGATAGGATTAAAACCACGATTTGTGAAAGAAAGAGAGAGAAATGGGGTTTAACGTCCACTCGACACAAACTAGGTCATTTCGGACTAACATATGGTTTAATTTTATTTCAATAATTCACTTGCGCGTAGGGGTCTTTAGCAGTGAGAGGAAACCGGAGGACCCGGAGAAAACCCACGAGGTTGGATAGGCGGCACTACTCCTTGTCACGTACAACCGGTGATTCGAAACCACGCCAGTTGACTCAATGACAGGCCTTATGATACAGCGCGCACGTGCTAACCATTCGACCTACCCCCACCCACCCCACCCACGATTTGAGTCGTAGCGTGAATCGTGATAGTATGAACATAGCATACGGGTGGATAATTATGTGCTTAAAGGGAATAAACTCATAAAGATGGCTGTACTAACTGACCATCACTATTATTGATCAATCGTAATATTTATTGTAATTGTTCCAATTAATTATCAATTAATAGTAATTTCAACATACCAATAACATGACAGTCAATGAAATAGAGGTGGAGGGGACCAGTCTGATTCATTATATACTATTATTGTCATATACTTGCCAGAAAAACATCCGATCAACAGATAAGGATAAAAGTCTATTGTATTAATAAATACTGAATCGAATTTCGTCTATTAATGTTTGAAGCGAGGAATAAAACAAAACGAAACATTAATAATACAATGTGAACAATTTAATCATAAAAGATAAAATTCTGAAATTAAATTTAAAAAAAGGCTTCAAAATAGATGAAAACATTTTCGATCAAAATACAAGAAGTTTCGGTAATAGTATAAATGTCTAATTTCACAGAACCCTCCCTTAAAACCAAACGAGCGCTGGTGAAAAATAATAAAACTTTCCATGCTAAATTAGTCACACTAACCACGTAAAAGATTTGAAAATAGATTGATACGCAGGAAAATATGTTTATAGAAATGTCGCATCAATAAAGGGTGGGGTCTTAATTATTTGGGAATGTAGAGAAAATAGATCAGTGAATGATCGATTTAAAAATACGACCAATTTAGATATATTTAATACTATCAAAATATGAACCAAAAATAAATTACGGTATTAGACCATTGAATTATCGATTGATATCGCACACTAATTAAACGATATGTTAATTAACACTAATCTGATATGTTTTTAATTACTTGATAGATATTTAAAATCCCTGCAAGACATCATCGTTTGATACAGCAGCCGCACAGAAGTAACGACACTGCAACTCTTACAGGGGAGTGTTGCCCCTCTATTCCCACTTTCTAATTACTCCTTAACTAGATGTGTTGCACTCTAACCACACCACGACAAGACATGTTCATGTTGCACACTTATCATACCACAACACGACCTGTTGCACACTAATTATACCACGACACGACGTGTTCTTCACTTATCACACCACAACACGACGTGTTGTTCACCGATCACGCCATAAAAAAGATATTGTGCACACTAATCACATAGAAAATGAAAAATGAATTAATTTATTTCTCAGTGGTTTTGAATTTTATAAGCCTATATATCCTAATATGATATATATTGTTGCCAATATTTTAGTAAAAGGTTGTTAAGTTTGAGGTTGATATGGTATTCACTAATAGACTTGTCACGTTAAATCACAAATTATTTTAAATTAATTTTGTCTATACCCATTGCAACATATCCTAATATGTTATACATTGTTGCGAATACTTTACGTAAAAGGTTGCTAAGTTTGAGGTTGATATGGTATTCACTAATAGACTTGTCACGTTAAATCACAAATTATTTTAAATTATTAATTTTGTCTATACCCATTGCAACATATCCTAATATGTTATACATTGTTGCAAATATTTTACGTAAAAGGTTGTTAAGTTTGAGGTTAGTGTGGTATTCAATTATAGACTTGTCACGTTAAATGCGTCTATTACTATTTGTGGAATTCTAATAGAAAAGAGTTTGCTTTATCAAAAAGTATTTTCATAGCACTTATAGGGGTAATCAAGCGGAATTGTCAAAGTATTCAATACACCCTTGAATCACTTCACAATTTCAAAATAGCATTTATCTCTAGTAATGAAAAGTAGAGTACTGCTATAAACTCTATTGTCATTGAGCTATTTTAATACCCTCCTTTTTTTTCTTTTACAATCTCGCCACTATTTGCGATATTTCCATTGGATACAGAGCTAGACCCACCTATCGAATCAAAATTATTTCACTACTGAATGTGTTTTTTTAATTTTATAGCAACCGCACAAAGTTTACAGTCGTTTCATCCTTTTTTGGCTAGGAGATAAAAAAAAACAAAGGAATTTTGATTGAACACTAGAGATAGACACACCTCTGCAATCAAAATTCTTTCAGAATTTTAGATTTCCATTTTACAATGCATGACTCGTAAAAAATATACGCTGTTGTACAATCTTTTCACCTTTGTTTGGTCCTATGATGAAAATTACTAGGGAATAAAAAAATTGAAATTGACTCAACACTAGAGCCAGACACACCCCTCCAATCAAAATTCTATCAGAATTACAGAAATTTCATAGCAACCGCAGATATCTCCATTTTACGTAATGTATGACTCATCAAAAATCTACGTTATTGTACGATCGTTGCACCCTTTGATAGTCCCATGATGAAAATAATCATGAAATACAAAATAATAAAAAAATAAATGAAATTTTGATTGGAATATTGGGCTAGACACACCTATTCAATCACACTTCTTTCAGAATTTAAGGTAATATTAAATTTATAGAAACCATAAAATTTCCATTTCCTTGATTTGTGAAGCGGCAAACATATTGGCCTACGTTCTTTTACGATCATTCTAAATGTTTTTGTCCTATGGTGAAAATAACCATGCGACCCCCCGTCCCCCTCCTCTTCCCAACTTTTGATTGGACACACCCATCTAATCTCATTGATTTCAAGACTGATTATATATAAATAATTTCATATTAACTACTAATATTTGAATTTTTTCTAATATAATGACTCCTCAAAAACTTATTTAACTATCCGACCCGACAAATTGCCGAACCTAAATTTTGATACAGAAAATGAACACAGTTTAAAGGTGCAGCACGCAAACGAAATGAAATGCGGTTTAACGCCCTACTCTTCTGCCCCTACTGGGCTAATGAAGACGGGCATACGCCACACAGTGTGCTATGGGGGAAATTTTGCCCGGACAGCGATGCTACTACGGTCTACTCTTATTTCGAATTTCAACTGTCAAGGGATCTTTTACGTGGACGCCAAGTGTACACGGGATTCGGTTTATCGTCCCATCTGAACGACTAGACTGCTGTCTTTGCCAGGCGCTCCGTCCTGTACAAGGGGAAACCACACGCACACTAAACTTCTACTAAATTTAACCAATTTCTGAACAATAATTTCAAAACATCACCACGCACACTGAACTTCTACTAAATTTAACCAATTTCTGAACAATAATTTCAAACCACCACCACGTTATATTCTTCTCTCTGTTTTTTTCTATTTAAACGAACATTGCCCTAAAATAACCAACTAACAATATCTGTTTTTAAGATTTATGGTTTTTATCAACACCCCGTCTCTCCAGGTCATAGACCTCGACAACAATGTTGCAGTTTCCTCTGACAGTCTAAATAATTGATTTAATAAAAATAAGGCCCTTATTTAAAAAAAAAACATACTTGTGTTTACTGTTGCCCGACCGACCCTATTTGTGTTTTTAGCCGAAATCGCCAACCCTTAACTTTTATTCTATAACTGGCCTTGGCGTGGTTTTCTTGTAAAATTTCCAACACTGGCATTTCTGTATTATTTCAAGAACCTTACCCAGTAATTAAGCTAAAAATGCTAGGGAATCCTACGAAAAATCAAACAAAAAAAACTTTTTCCGAACTATGGACCCTATAACCGTAAACACAGGTATCCTTTTCTTGGCCTAAGGTATCTCACTAGGACCTACAGACCCAACACCAAGAAAATATATACCTACAGCAATTTCTTATTAAAGTTTTGATAAGAATAGCAGAGAAAATGGGGATTAAAAAACCTTATCACGTTACATATTTAGAGTCTATATGCTAACAGTAGAGCAATAGGACTATTTGATTTAATAGGTGAAAGGAGAGATTTACCATGGTCCCCACTATTGCCCCAACAATGACTTCTGTAGGTGAACTTTTCACGAACCTTCCTCTAACACTATAAACTATGAATTAGCAGGGTGAATGGTTTTCTAACACCTTATAGCTTATAAACACCTGATTTATGATTATAGGCTACTATTACATATAAACAACTATACCAGGTAGATAAAACAAAGATATACATCTACTAATAACTATAATTCAATTATATGTATATAAAATAATTCTAAAAGGGTATCTCTTAAAGGGAAAGATTTAGGCGTTAATGCAATTATAATAATATAAACCATATTATCTTAGTCGCTTAGTATTAAACTTAGTAATTGTGTATCCATAAAATTGTACCTTGTCTTAATATGATTGTTCAATTACTAAATTGCAATCAAAGAAGATATCTAATTTTGTATATGTTTTGGCGATATTGTAAATCTGTTAAAGGGGCACCTTGTTGTAATGAAATGAGGTTTAGGTACTACTTTTATATTTACCACAAAAAATTTGGTTCAATTATATGTATATAGAAAACTATAAATGGTATATTTTGGGTGATCTTGCGAATCTCTTAACGGGGCACCTTTTTGAACTAAACATACATGTATATATATAAAAAGATCTAAAAGGTTGGTGATAATTAGTGAATTTAAGAATTATGAGAGTCGTTTAATATGTTAATTAAAAAACATGTTAATTTGTATCCATACCAAGTATTATATTATAAGTCAATTGCTAAATTCTACTTACCACAATTTCTTTCGTCCGACCAATCGGCGCAATCCATAGACCCATCGCACACACTAGAATTGGGGATACATTGATGACTGCCATGACATGAAAACTCGTCGATTCCACAAACTGCAGGGAAGATAAAAGAGATTAAAAGAAATCACTAAATTTGTGTGTGTGTGTGTTTCAATTCTGGCCAGTTTGCTCTAAAACGAGAAAGAAGACTTGGTTTCCCTTTTCAGATTACGTAATTTTTAAAGCTTAAGATTTTTATTATCTCAAGAAAAGCCATGAACTGGACACAGAAGAATGAACTCATCATGCTGCCGGGTAACGTCACTTAAACTCACAGGTTTCACTAATAAATGGCTTCACTCCAATTTAGTACTGGATCGGGGAATAAAGGGGTCACAATTCTTTGGAATACAATTATTGTTTATTACAGAGCGAGGCTTCGCTAGTTCCTCAAAAAGTAAGCACTAAACTATTTATGGTCTGCGATATCACTTCGGTTGAAGCGGACGTAAAATAAAGCTATTTCACTCACCCAGTTCAGTAAGCAGAAGAAGAAGAAAAAAAGAATAAGCAATGATGATAAAGACAAGAGACAACTTACTTGATGAAGAAGCGAGAATCCTAGTCGAAACGTCATCAATAATAAATATTAATTGTATTCCAAAGAACGGCCGAATGTTTAAATTTAAAAATGGCAAAATAAATTCAATCCAACGACATATTTTTAAAAATAGAATAAAGTAGACCGTGAGTGAATACATGGGTATACTAAAATGAAATAAATAAAAATAGAAATGTCAAGAAAAGAAAATCAAGTTAAATTTTTAATTTTGTTACCCATGTTTAATCATACATTAGCCGATTTATATATATCACGGATCTAGCCATATTTATCGCCAAGCTTACAAATTTAATATTCACAACTGACAAAGTCTGAACGTAAGACCTGCGTAAATTCATATATGGATGTGTAAACATGTGTCGCATTTTCTTTTTACTTCAATCAAGTTGTATTTTGTGTGACGTGTTATTTTGATGTCAATGCCTTTCGGTGTATGTAATGCTACGGGTACGTACTATACTCGAGTGTATTTAGGGTATGCATATTTAAGTGTTTACTGAGTGACCTGTAAATGGTTACTAGTATAAACATTAATTCATGGATATCTAATTAGATATTTTTAATGTAGTTTTAATTAACTAATTTTGTTCAATATAATTATTAAGTTCCCGTTACAGTTATTGACCTATATGTTTGAACTTTAATAAACATTACTTAATGTGTTTTTGATTATTTCAAACTAACGCTTTCAAGTTGTAATAATGACGAATGTTGAATCTGATCTTCGTTTTTCTATTATTATCGAAGACGTTTATTTTTTTCAATTCTAGTTTCATTTTTTTTTTCAATTACCCTTTTCTAGTTTTAATGACCATGAATATTGAAGATAACTTTTATTTGTTATTATCGAAGGAAATTTTTGTTATTTCAATCTTATTTTTCTAATACCGAATTGATGTTTTATTGTTTAATTTATTTAGTTTCATCGGTTATTATTACTTTAGATTATAATTAAAGCTGATTTTCATTTGTTATTTTCAAAGATATTTGTTTTCTTATTTCAAAATACCCCTTTCTGGTTTTAATAACGATGTATATTTCTGTACTGAATTGATTTTTATCGTTAAGCTATCTAGTTGTTATAACTTAATAGTACAATTGTATCTGATAATTTTACAATTCCATTTGCTTATTGCAGTTTCTATTTGTTATCATTGATGGTTATTGCAGTTTTTATTTGCTATCCTGATGATTATGGCAGTTTCTATTTGTTATTATTGATAATTATTCAAGTTTTTATTTGTTATTATTGGTGACCATTACAGTTTCTATTTGTTGTTATTGATAACTATATACCAATTAATCAATGATGATTATTCAGTTGCTACTTGTTATTATTGATAATTGTTCAGTTGCTATTTGTTATTCTTGATAATTATTCAAGTTTTTATTTGTTATTCATGATGATAATTATAATTGTTATGGTTTTTGCAGTTAATAATGGTTATTATCGATCATTATTTCAGTTAATTATTGATGATTATTCACATTCTTTTTGTTTTTGTGGACGATTTTCTCAGTTTACTTCAGTTTCTATTTGCGTTTATTTCATATGGCTGTTTAGTTTCTATTTTATATTCATCCTAATAAAAACTATTGTGTTATTCCGGTCCTATTTCGAACACAGATCTAGACTTTAAAGGAGTTAAACCTCTAACTTAATATTTTCCACAATATTCGAAAATAAAACCAATATTTATGTTGTTATCTTGTCGTAAAATATGGGATCCTTAATATCCAATATTTGAGAAACAATGAACATTTTTAAACTAATACACGAGTCGTGTATTTTATGGTTTCGGGCGCCATTTGTAGTGAACAAAGAGAAACATATCCTACGAGACAACGCGGAAGTAATTATTATGTCTGATTCACAAACAACAAAATATTAGTAAAAAAACCCAAAAAAACAAACAACCCGTGTTGCATGGACTAAGCAGGCGTTAACGTCCGTCTTTTAATTTGGACTGTTCTCGTATTCCAACGAACCTTATTGATTAGAAATTACAATAAATTATTTAAAAGGGGAATAAAATTACATTAATATGTGCTTTTAAACCCATTTAAGGTTCCATAGTATAGAGCTAACATCTTATAAGTCTAGACTCATGATTTTGCGGTTTATGATATGATTATTTCATATGTTTTTTTTGTTATCCGTGAAGATTGTCGCGGCTGTCTTGTTTCTATTCCATATTTATCCTAATAGAAAATAATGTGTTTTTTGGGGGTCGGGTTCCGAACACAGATTATTTTTCGATGACTATGATTATTTCATACGTTGTTTTGTTTTCGTAACCTTTCAGTTTCAATTCTATATTTATCCAAATAGAAAAAAGTGTGCATTTTTGGGGTCGAATTCCGAAAACAGATATTTTTCGATGACTATGATTATTTCATATGTGTTTTTGTTTTCGTGGCTGTCCAGTTTCAATTCTGTATTTATCCTAATAGAAATTACTGTGTTTTTGTTCGGTCGGATTTCTAACATAGATTATTTTTGATGACTAAGGTGTGTTGACCACCTTCATGGCCGGTAATTACCTATATACATGTGTTATTAATCTCTGGAGACTCCATGCTAAATCTGAGTATATATATATATACATACGTACCTTTCTGGGCAGGTGGTCGTAAACAATTTGGACTGTCATCAGCAAAGCTTTCACATGGTTGGTCAAATAAGATATCTTTACATTCTTTAGTTACATCTATAGAAATAAACAAAGGCGTATGAATATTGACATAACGTTACGTTCAATGGCAATTCTAAGTCTAAAAGGGTTATTAAGTTTTCATTTTTGTGTTTGTATAAAGATGGGAACGTTGATACCCCTTGCTCTCCATCGCTAAAGCTACTGCACAAAAACAAAATAATTGGTGTAATTGTTAAATGGAAACGCATCGTCAATTCTAGACTATTGCAATGTACTAGTATATACAATCTATATGATACAAAGTCTGATACAAATTCGCTCTGAAAGGCAAACTAGAAAATTATATCGAAAAGTACACGAAACAGAAAATAAAAGATATACAAAAGATAGCCTAAAGAGATAGACAAGGGCCAGACAAAACTCAAAATCAATCCTACACAATCAATTCGCAAAGTAGCATATTATTACGAAACAAAAGTTCTAAATAATATACAAGATCAACTCGTCATGTAGTTCTAACTATGGAAAACTACAGCGAAAGAGATAGACAAAATACAGCGCAAGAGACATACAAAATACAGCGTAAGGGATAAACAAAATACAGCGCAAGAGACATACAAAATACAGCGTAAGGGATAAACAAAATACAGCATAATAGACAAACAAAATACAGCGTAAGAGATAAACAAAATTAAAAGTTATAATTAGTTATAAAAATGAAAAATTCCATTTTCAGCGCTTTGGTAAATCACGGTAAAAACGCTTGTTTATTTTTGTCACAATCCAAACCCAGGGTATTGTAATAATGCCAGTTTGCCAGGCTACGTGCCGTGTAATTTGAATATAGTAACCAGAACTTATTGTTAACTTTTATTGTATCTTTACGAGGGGAAAACGTTTGTGAAGAAATCTAAGCGGACTTCAAAGAAGTTTCGTTTTAATATAAAAGAAAACTCTCAAACTTAAATATTTGCATACACCGTGCACGAAAACTTAATAATTCAGAGATAATTTTATACAAAGATTAATCGAAACATAAGTATTTTATATCAAAACATCGTCAGCTATGTTGGCCCGCCTACTTTTAGAAAGTTCAATTAACAAAATCGACAAGCTAAAGGTAAGATGTCATGTCTGAACATTCATATTCATCAATTAATTAAAGCGACATTATGCACGATTAGATAAAGAGATGATAGTTTTCGCGGTAATAGTTAAAACTAGATAACGAAAAGGCAATATGCTGACGTTTTCAGTCAAATTAATTCACTCTGAGCCGAGAAATCCTTATTTCAAAAACACTGTAGCCTCTATTGTCATTGTTATCGGTCTCGATTATACATTTTTATTGTTATCGGTGTCGATTATACATTTTTATGGTTAATATCAACCGTCATTGAACTACATATCGGATTCAAATCTGTTGCTCGCTAGCCTCGAGGTCGGGTGTTCGATCCCTGCATTGGCCGAGAAAGTTCATCCCGATTTTCCGGCGTGGTTCCCCCTTGTCAGTGATGCAGGACGGAGGGCCTGACAAGGACAGCTGTCTAGTCATTCGGATGAGACGAAAAACCGAGGTCCCGTGTACACTTGGCGTCCACGTAAAAGATCCCTTGACAGTTGAAATTCGAAATAAGAGTAGACCGTAGTGCCGCTGTCCGGTCAAAATTTCCCTCATAGCCCACTGTATGGCGTATGCCCGTCTTCATTAGCCCAGTTCGGAGCAAAACAGTAGGACGTTAAACCCCATTTCATTTCATTTCATTTCAAATCTGTTGATAATCGGACCCATCAGATGGCAATGAGGGTTGATTATAATCTGGATAAGTTAATTAATGTCTAATTCATAATTTAGATAACATTTCAGACCTAAAGAAATAGGAGAGAGAGAGAGAGAAATGGGGTTTAACGTCCACTCGACACAAACTAGGTCATTTCGGGACTAACATATGGTTTAACTTTATTTACATAATTCGCTTGCGCGTAGGGGTCTTTAGCAGTGGGAGGAAACCGGAGGCCCCGGAGAAAACCCACGAGGTTGGACAGGCGACCCTACTCCTTGTCACGTACAACCGGGGATTCCTAAAGAAATAGGAAGATTTAGCTCTTGCATAATGCATGTCTAAATAAAGACTCAAAAATAAAGGTGATCTCACTCTATTATGAACGAACTAGGATGTTTCCCACCCATATACGACATATAGCACAGTTCAGAGCCGTTAAAACAGACAAAGGAAGGTAATATCTATATTTAAACAACTACAACAGATCAAAATAAAACAGCGTATATACATATGTAATATTTAAGTGGAATTTCGTAATCGAGGTCTATTTACGAAAGGAACCGGAATTCAGAGCCAGTTATCATGAAACGTATAATCAATAACGTGTTTATAGACAAATTCAAAGAACGATAATAAGATGCATTATATAAGATAGAACTGGCAGTTATCGCTATAATAGTTAAGAAATAGGTAATGAAAAGGGAATTGAAAATTTCAGTCAAATTACTTTGATAAGGGCTAAGTTATGAATGTTGTAGGTTTTGACAACAATACCGTAGTCTTGATTTTCACTATAACCATTGTTACGATAATAAACGAAGTCTCGATTATCCATTTTTGAATTAAATTATTAAATGGCGATCATGTTTCAATTCACTAAAACACGCCACCATCCGATGAACTAGAGAGTTGACTATTGGCTTGTCATGTGTATAAATGTCTAATTTATAATTTATAAAACATTTTAGGCCAACGAATAGAACTGCAATAGGAAATTTCAGGTCTTACATAATGCAGCTTTACTAAAAAATGCAGCTTTACTAAAAATTAAGCTATCTGTTTTCGAAAGTTTCAACACAAAAGCATATATGTAATCGTGAAGTGGCATTCAGCAATCGAGAAACACAATAATAGAACACAATTCGACTAGGTATTGTGTTCCATGACAAGTGTGTTCTATTCACCACACTAACTCAGAACTAGTTATTTCCACGAAACTTATGTTCAATAACATCTTTATACACAAATTCAAAAGAACACAATATTAAAATTTAATTACGACACCAAAGCCTAATTGTTTTCGAACTTTCAAACACAAGAGATCGAAATAAAACAGCATATTTACGAACCGGAAACTTTTAAAGACGTGTTAATATATCACGATTTTTCTTTTCAATTTCTGTGAATTTTTAACCTAGAAATTCATTCTTATAAGATTGAATACGCTACTTTATAGAATTGAACGGCCGATGAATGCACTTTAAGCAGAGTCACGCCACAGAACGCACACATTCTTTTGGTAAAAAATAAAGCCACTTTACATAACCATTAATAAAATGGGCTCTTAAAATATCTATATTCAGGAAGGGTGTTCTACTTTTTGGAAACTTATTGAGAGAGAGAGAGAGAGAAATGGGGTTTAACGTCCACTCGACACTAACTAGGTCATTTCGTGACTAACATATGGTTTATTATTTTATTTCAATAATTCGCTTGCGCGTAGGGGTCTTTAGCAGTGGGAGGAAACCGGAGGACCCGGAGAAAACCCACGAGGTTGGACAGGCGACCCTACTCCTTGCCACGTACAACTGAGGATTCGAAACCAAGAAACTTATGGAAGAATACCTAAATTGATTTATAGAATTATGACAAGGATGGTGTCAAATTAAAACCTATGATACATATAAAATACAACGAAAACAAAAATATCGTGATAGCCTTATTTGATTCATTTATATAACCAGTTCCAACCTAAATAGATTCATAGCTCATGATGATATCAATGATATTACCACCAACAAGGAACATTAATGGATTTTCGTAACTCTGAAATACTTATCAAAAATATTACCACAACAAGGGATATTAAGGGGTTTTCGTAACTCTGAAACATATTACATTATTGGAGTTTTGTAACTGTGAAATGGTCCGACTCTTAAGGTAACTAAAATAAATTCATTGGTCTTTAGTCTATCAACAAAATTACCACAATAAGGGTATTAATGGATTTTTGTAACTGTGAAATAATTGGTCTTGTGGATACAACACGATTACCACACCAAGTGAAATTAGTGGACTTCCGTAACTATGAAATAATATGACTTTTAAGGTAAATAAAATTGATTCATTGGTTTTAAGGATATGAACAATATTACCACAATAAAATACATTAAATGATTTTCGTACCTATGAAATGATTCGACTTAAAGAAGCTACACATCTAACTTAGTATCATCCATATTTGTTACTCATTTCAATCAATACCCGGTGTTATTATTTCACTGTGAAATTATGGGATCCTGACTTCAGGTAAATAGAATAAGACAAAGAAAAGTTAAACTTACCTGAACATACATCTGTACACGGCTTTCTGAAAGTCAGTCCATCACATGGCGGGAAAAGCACAGAACACAAGTAGAACAAGGTGCTATTGGAACATCCAGTAGAAACCGGTCTGAGTCCAAATGGTTTATATCCCTTTTCAATCGCATCGCGTTCACTGTTAAAATTCCACTGATTGGGGTAAAACGTGTTATTAAATATTCCAAATGACTGGCAAATATCTATAGTAGTTGATACTTCACACCTTTCTGTAAATACAAACGGTAATACAACTATAATACTCACAAGTAGACATGCTATGACGCTAGGAAATAGCATGTTAACGTCTTTGCAACCCTGGCCCTGACATGGCCTTTTGACTGAGTGAATAAGAAAATGAGAGTTTGACACGCTGGTCTACCGTATACCTTCTAAAGACCGCAAGACGTCACACAGAAAAACACCACAGGCGATATCGTCGTCGCCTACCTATCACAGAGAAACCCAATTCACCCGATGACGAGAGAATTCTAATTAGGTTTATTGCTTTATATTACGTATTTAATAATTCGAATATTTATTTCTTTAATCTGCGTTTAGTTTAAAATGTTGTTTTCGAAATCCAAAATATAATTCACTGCGGTATCAATATTCCTTTTAAATCACTCAATAATTGGAATCTCTTTCGTGGCGCCTCCTCAATGGTGAGATTCTACTCCAATTCTTTCTTAAGTCCACAACTGATACTGAAACTTCTGACTGTTCTCAATATCTATTTTACAATCATTTGAATCTCCTTTAAGGTGACTCGTCAACAATCAGATTCAACTCCCATTCTTTCTAAAGTCCACCACAATTGATACTGAAACTTCTGACCATTCCCCGATGATTCACGATCTGGGTGGACGATTTGGGTACACTCCCAGTTTTTATACAGTAAGTGTTCTTAGTAATCCTGGAAATTATGAGTTTTACTCTATTTTTTTCCTAAGTCCACAATTGCTACTGAAACTCCCGATCATTTCTCTGATAAGCTATCAGCGTTAGTTCTAACGATCTGTATGGACGAGTTTAGAACACCCCCGGTTTTTATACAAATATTCAGTAAGTGTTCTTAGTAATCCTGGAAATGACGTCTCCGTTATCCTTCTTTATTTGGTCCCGCTTCCTTTACTCTGTTAGTTTTCATTCTCCGAGAATTAAAGATGAAAATAGATCCTCCTTTTCGATATTGTAATTCCTTTTGTCTTATATAAATAGTTATAGTCAAACGAGCAAGCCAGAAGAAGTTGATGTCGCTTTGCAAAAGCCGAAATTTTATATCACGCTTCAAAATCAATGTTACATTCCAAGAGTTACCACTTTCGAGTAACAATCGCGCACAAAAATAAAATAACTCAAAACATTTGAAATTAGAAAAGTATTCCCAATGCAACCACAAATATTCCACTTCCACAAAGCGCCAACAGCATCATATCTTATAAACATATCAATAATTATATTATTTCCTTTGTAATAGGATGCGATGCACCCACTCAACTCTTACAAATTCATTTACATAATTAAGCACGTGGGCTAAATAATAACAATGGGCTCGCTACAAACCAACTTCAAAAGACTCCAATAACTTACACGCCCTCGCTTACGAATATATTTCTAGTAATTGAATAACGAACAAGGAGTGTGTCGACACTCCAAATCAGTTTCGCTCCCTTTTGCCAATAGCTGTTTACTGCAATCCATAATTGAGCTTTGGGGAACATGGTGAAATTTCATCCAAACTAGGCAATTAATTTAAACTTTTCAATAAAACACGATATGTATTAAGAGCCCCAACGATATCTTCTCCAACTAGAAAAAAACATTTAAACTTTTAAATAATTTCTTGAGATTCCTAAAGGTTCCAGAAGGTTCCAGAAGAATTCGGCGATTCTGATAAACATAGCGTTATAAAACGAAACTCCTTGTTCGTCGCTTTGCTTTAAGTGACTGTTGCGTTATAGGCTTCTCTGGATATACTTTAAAACAAAGTCGTTTCGTGACATTAAATCATTGACTGAACACACACACACACACACACACACACAGCACTGCAATTAATCCACAAACGATCAGAGCACTTGAGTCATGAATACAACATATCCAAATCGCACAAGAGTTTATCCAAGTTCACCAAGAACCCAACCCATTCCTGGTATAATCATGGTGATTCAACAGGATCGTTTTAGAGAGTGAAAAGGTGCATATTTTAATGGCAAGTTCTCGTGCTAAAATGAATATAACCTCGTATAATAGAGTTTGAGTTATCCCCAATATGCAGGACGCACAGTATAGTACATACACATGCAATAAAGCTACTATAAAGCGGGTTTATTGTCCCTAATAATAAAAGGGTTTCTCGCTCTGATGGTTTACACTGAAGTGATAAAGACGGGTTACCGTAACTATTTTAATAACAGACCATATGATTATATTTGTCTTTACAGTCCACACATTAAAGGAATGGGCTTTAATATCCCACTTTTCTGCACCAACCGGGATAATGAACATGGACATAGGACACTGGGGCAATAAAGACAATAGCTTGCATAAAAGGCTTCAAAATGGTATGGAAGCCGCGGTTGGTACACTAACTAGTTGGCCGAGAAAGTTCCCCTGACTTTTCAGCTTGTCAGTAGTGCAGTACGGATGGGACGAAAAACCGAAGTCCCTTGTACAGAACCCCTGGCAGTTGGAAATCGATATAAGAGTAGGCCGGAGAGCGACACTACGGCCTCCTCTTATGTCGAGTTCCAACTGCCAAGGGATCGAACGACTAGACAGTTTTCCTTGCCAGGCCCTCCATCCTTCACCACTGACAAGGCGAAACCACGCCTGAAAATCCCATTGAATGGGCAACAGACTAATCAAAACTGGCATTTACCATGCATTGTGCCATGAAGACACTTAAGACAGTTACTTGTTCAATAGACTTCAAATTGGTACATTATCAGTCTTATAAAAATCCAATCAATATTTGGAATAAAATTCACCCATTTAATTACCCGTTTAATTCAAAACTTCTATGTAACCTAAATATACTTGTCTCTATTGTTTGCGATATCACCTCGGTGGAAGCGGACGTTAAATAAAGCTATTTCACACTTTTTAACATTTAGCCCCACAGCACCGAATCTCCATAACCTGCTTAAACCACATTTCAGTTTATAATGGTATATTACCATTCTATTCAATTCTTCAACAATATTTGGAAGTGCCAAGTTATTTCAGAACTTTTAAACATTTCACCTCCGCAGCAAAGAATCTCCATAACTTGAATAAACCACATTTCATTTCATAATGGTATATTAATAACCATTCTATTCAATTCTTCATCAAGTGCCCGAACTAACCCATTTAATTGCCCAGTTATTTCAGTACTTTTAAACATTTCACCCCCGCAGCACCGAATCTCCTTAACTTGCTTAAAAAGGCAGGATTTCATGTCCTCATAATAGTTTATGTGTAATGTAGGATAATAAATTTGTAACGTTACATAAACGTGTTCAAGTAGATCCCCATTTAGTATTATGTAAGGAAATAGCCCTAGGTATAGGAAATTCCGATGTTTCAATCATTAAATTTTCATAGTTATGCGAATTAGCGTCATAAAGAACTCAGTCAGTGGGTTGTTTTAATGAGGCAGTGATATTTCCCTTTTTGGATAATTGTTGAATTATATCAGGCACGACCATCGACAGTATTGAAAGATTAATGAACATAAAAAGAAAATAGATCTGTAAGAGTACGTCCATTATTTGTCATTGGAGTCCGACCGATATTTACCCATACGATTAAACACCTTAGGATTTTCTGATGAGGTAGTCGCTTTTCGATAATCTTTGGCAATCACTGAGCGCAACTGGAAGCGACCACCCTTCATTGCTGATGCACAAGGATCTGCTAAGAGAATAAGGTTGGGGATAGGGTGTGACCATCGAAGAAGGAGGAATATCTCTTCTTGTAAACTATTACGTTTGTGAGTCGATTCCCTCGTAATTAAATTCAGAGTGTGCCCCTGATCTGTCCTGATATATGTTTGAACGACTGAAACTCCCTTCTATTGTGTAGTCAAGCTCCTGACGTGTAAAGGTTTGTTCAATCGTTTAGTATGGGACTCAAAGATTGTAAATCCACCAGGGTATGTATATACGTACAAGAGAGGGAGAGAGAAATGGGATTTATCGTCCACTCGATACACACTAGGTCATTTCGGTACTAACATATGTTTTAACTTTATTTCAATAATTCGCTTGTACATATGGGTCTCTAGCAGCGAGAGGAAACCGGAGGACCTGGAGAAACCCCACGAGGTTGGACAGCCGATCCTACTGCTTGTCACTATCTAAGCAGGGAATGGAAACCACGCTACTTGATTCAATGTCGGTTTGTGCCCAGTGGACGTTAAACCCATCCGTCTATCTCTCTTTTACCCATATACACGGGTGGACCTAAATTTTTGAGTCCCATACTTAAACTTGGCAAATCTTTACATGTCAGGAGCTCGACAAGTCAATAGAAGTGAATTTCAGTCGTTGAAACATATATCTGGACAGATCAGGGACGTTAAACCCCATCCTCATCTCTCTCTGTCTCTCATCCTATTCCTCTCCTTTCGGTATGATCCACCCAATCTAACAATGATATATTTTAGCGTCTATTTTGCTCAATACGGTATTTTATGTAAATCAAGGCGTGTTATTTTTATATCAGAATGCAGGGAAGCATAATTGATGATGTCCTTGATTCAACTGATCTTTATTGCTTTACAAATATTTCACAGGCTCCATGTCAATGGCCTTTCATTTTATGATTGTCTTATGAGCGGCGACAGGGCGCCAATGTTGCCGTTTTGCTTCATAAGCTTGGAGACTACGTGCACATTTCATAATAATTAAAATAAAACTACAATTATAATTTGTAGCCAAGGGCAAAATGTTAGGCACAATGATCACATATCGTTCTTTTATAAACACATAGATATACTTTATCAGCCTGAAATGTCTATCGGGTATGGGCGGGGCGATTTATTCAATACTACCCAATACTACCCAATAACACCACATACCACCCAATACTACCCAATATCACCCAATAGCACCACATACTACCCAATACCACCACATAATGATGCCAAATGGGCATGTTACTTGAATTTTGTCAAAAATAGATCAAAATTCAAGAATATAATAATTTCAAGAATTCATGACCTTTATTCACTTTTATATCTTTTTTTTTTTGGGGGGGGGGGGGCTTTTGTTGTGTCTTTTTTTCCAGTCTTTTGATTTATATTGTATGTTATATTTTAGCGGATTGCCTTCAGTTTGTAAAAACAAAGTCCCAACATTCCCGAATAATGGCGAGATTATTACCATAAAAAAGGGTTGACATACAAAGTGGCCATGCAAAGTGGCGTCTAGCACGTCATGATACAATTGATCTAAAATGTATAAGACCTGGCCCCGGTTTCACAAAACATTCTCAGACTGTGTTTTGGCTGTTTGTGTTATATTCCTATATTATAAATAATAATGGCCATAAACAATCCGCCAATCACGTGGTTAGGGTTTTTCTGGGGTTTTATACACGTCATTGTATATTGAAACAAAGAAGGTAACAGTAAGAAAAGACAAAAAAATAAATAAATATTAAAGTTCTTAATTAATTTTAAAATTATATATTTTGAATGTGTCATCTAACAAAGAAGAAATTCTATGGTGCCCCCTGCCCCCATTACCATGATGCCCTAAGCACGTACTTATTTTGCTTAATGGTTAATCCAGCTCTGTTAACATTTTTACCCTTAGATCAATCTTTTGACCAATCTGAGGTCGTGCTATATAGAACGTAAAAAAAATCATATCATAGGCTTCACCACTATAAACATTAAACAGCGTAGTTATTCACAAATCATAAAAAGCTGATCCATTTCGTATTCTCCGTTCTTGATTTTCATGTTTAAACGACTAACCCATTAATCATAAACTGTTTCTTTGTCCTCCACAGGGAATCCTTCGCGTTTAGAGTTTAAGCTAAACCTTTTGTATCCCCAAACAGAGAATTTGTCAAGCGAACGGTGCTCTACAGGCAACAAGTCAAGCATCTTCTATTAGAGTAAAGCCCACCCCGCACGAGTGCAGTTTAATGCATCAGACATCAGACACAGCTAACAAATTTTTAACAAAAATGGTTCTACTTTAGTTTCTATTTTAGCCTTTCGAAACTAATTTGTTTTCTGTCCAGAATGGTTATCTTGGTTTTTACTTTTATCCAAAGGTTTAGTTTTTGTCTCTGAATGACTTTGAATCGGGTCGTGTGTCCTGGGCTTTAGTAGGATAGATGCGACATAGCGTCAGACACTTCATCTATATATAAACCATCATATGATAGAAAATTATTATAAATTACTCGCTACAGGGAGTAATGTATGAAAGGCGAATCACAACTGCTCAGGAATGTGTATTATTCGCTGTAAACAGTCGGGGATTCACAACATATAGACACGACGACAAGAACTGAAATTTCAGTGAACAATACCCATAGTATGACAATGATATACAATGGCGGATCCCTTGAGGCGTCGGACACTCCCTTCGCCTCTCATACATTGCAAGTATATTTTAAGAAATATAGTTGGCTGTACACAAAATGTTTACTAAATAACTGTCCACGAGAAAGGAAGTGGCGTTTTCAACGGTTTAGTTACAAAGGTTCCTAAGATATGCCCTTGTCGGTCGGTACCCCTTCGTGGATCCGCGCTTTGTATAAGGCACAGGGAACTTAAAGCACTACTTGAGGAATACGAGTGGTTATTTACATATGAATATAACTAGGATACAATAACAAACATGCGTTTAATTTGTTTACATGTTGATGTTTTTTTTTATATTCTGCCCTCGTCATACGTTTTATGGTGGGACAGATGATAGGCTTACTCTTATTCGGAAGGGCAACGCGCCCTTTAAGACGAGAGATTTTTATTTGGAAGGGCGACGCGCCCTTTAAGATGAGACATTCTTTAAGGACGTTAATGTATACCAGTTCAACCTTGTATTTTTTTCTGCAGATTTTTAAAAAATTAAAAATTAAATTCTCAAAATAAAAAAAAGAGGGGCAGAATTGATGTTAATAAAAAAAATGGTGAGTTTCTGTCATTTTGAGTATGTTACATAATACAATTTAAATTTAAGAACCGCCCCCCCCCCCAAAAAAAAAACCCCAGAACTATATAGGTTATAATTTATTTTATAAAATTTAAATTTAGAAAATAAGCTAAAAAAACCAGACCCGCTTTAATATAAAAGGGAAAAAACTTTAGAGTTTCCACCATTTTGAATATTTCATACAATTTAAACAACCTATTGATAATAGATCTACTTCATAAAATTGATGTATATAAAAGGGACATAACTCTAGAGCTGCCGCCATTTTGAATATATGATTTATTTAAATAGAAAAATAACCTATAGATAGATAATAATATGTAACTGGGTTCTAATATCAGCTGATATTTATGTTCATTCGAGCATTACCAAAAAGATTTGTTGAAGATAAGCTTAATAAAGGGGATAGACTATGCTTGGAATCTACTAATTGTTGGGTGGACCCCCAACAAGTTGATCAAAAGATAAATCTCGCGGAACATAAAAAACATTAAGTCTCGGTCACCCAGGATGATAGAGACTAAAATAGCACTGATCTCATTAGAAGTTATTTTAATATCATCTTTCACTGAACAGGAGAATTAAGGCTCTGGTGGGGTTTTTTTTCCAACAAAAAAGAAGCTAATGGTATTCATGATATCCCGTAACTAGAGCAGATGCAACTGTTGTCCAATGATAACATTTATATATGCGCATGACCCCATATTAGACCAACGTGCGATAACGTTTAGTATTGTTGGTGAGTCTAGATTGAACCGGAGAATTTATCCGTTACCATCAATCTCCGTATCTCTAAAAAGACGGTCGTGTGTCATCTTCAGATTACAGCACAAGGACCGGAAAAAAGCAATAGAATTTAAGATCGTTCGGCCTTAGACCTAATCCCAACACTATCCCTAACCAATTAGTCCCTCTTCGGGTTGTGCGAAAGCTCGGTGTTAGATTGTCAGACCGCCACTGCAAGTAGAAGGGCGCCGCCATTACTTCGGGTTAACGTTAGACCCACGGCCCATGCTCAATGTGGATGTGTATAGTACAGGCACCAATTCTGACAGGTTCAGTTTGTGTTATATCCATTGTAAACAACGCATGCGCTCTCGAGGCCGTATGATATGACGTCACACTTAGACTTATCATGCACGTGAACTTAAAGGTCAGTCATCTTCTACATAGTTCAAAGAAAGCTTTCACAGTACCTCTGTGAAACAGATTGGTAGCACCTAGTCAAGTTCGCAAAAAGTATAAATTACCGTGTAAGTCTTTTAGTTACTCTGATGGTTTATGTACTGTCTGGTTGTCGTGATTAGACCCGGATATCCAGTCGGGTCTCAGAATGTAGACCGGAAGTTGATCAAGTTGGTAAAATCTCAACACATCTAACCCAACCCCCTCTCCCAATTACTTCACCATTATGTAGAACGAAATTTAGATATTGTACGGTAATATGTGTTATATGTGTGGTATATAGTAATAATATAGTGTCAGATATCCATGTGGACACAGGTGCTATTTGTTTAATATGTTACAATATATTATTAGGTCATCCCATTCAGTATTAATTACGTCTGTGAGAAAACGGCTGACCCAGTTCACTGTTTTATATACATATCGTTATCGATCGTATAACCGTAACGATTAAATCCCTTGGTATATACACAACACATTTTTAGAACACCCGATTCCACTTCTCCTTCCAATAATTGACGTGTAACTACCAATACTCTTTTTTGTCAGGATATTGAAACTTTCTATATTTTTAAACTGGTGTTACACATTTTATATATATCGTTATTAATCGTTTAGCCGTAGCGATTAAGTTACTTTGTACAGACAAACAGTATATCTATTCTTTCTGGAACAGTCCATAACACTTCTAGATTGAGTAATTCACTTGTATCTGTACTAAAACATTTAGATGTGGCCGCTTTTAACATTATTCATTGTCTTTAAAGATATAGCCAAAATGCTTAAAAATGCGAAAATCGGAATTTAATTTGGATAACGCCAATTAAACGCTCGATATTCCAGAATCATTTTCAAGTTTCTGCAACATGTGGGACCTTCCATAACTTTGGTTTCCTTTTGTTTCTTTGCATCGCATCTGACCACATCCAATAGCCGGCTATTCCTTGGGTAAATACGATTACCTCCCTTTTTTCTATTCTCTGTAAAGCTGCACATCCGGATAGCATTAATAACTGTCATTCATTTTGATGCGATTTACCCTTCACCGGTTGGGTTCTTGCTTTCATTTGAACCGTTTTTCCAATAACATATAACGTCATCTGTTTTGGTTTATATTTTTGTGACTTTTTAACAAGAAGTAGGATGCTGATACCGCCGTGAATTATGCTTCCTTATTGCTAACAAGACGAAGGATGCTGATACCGCCGTGAATTATGCGGTGTCATTTGCAAATTATATAAATATCTTTTACTCAGACTAATGAGTTCTTAATGGTGAACTACTTAAATAGCCCCCAATGAAAAAACAATAAAACTAAGAATTCCTTCTGAATCATAAATGAGCTTTGAATGAAATAATGGCAACGTTCAATCGAGCATCCCCGTAGTGTCATTTGCAACGTATATAAATATCTTTTTACAGATTTTTGAATTCTTAATATTTTTGTACAACATAAATCCAACCTCGATGAAAAACAATAAAATTAAAATTCATTCTGAATCATAATTAATAATCTTTGAATGAAATACTAGCAACATCCCAAAGAAACAAAGAATACAACTTACCTCCCGGAGTGGTTGTGATGATGGTTGTGGTCGGGGTGGTAGTAGAAGGTGTGGTGGAGATGGTAGTGGGGGTTGTAGTGGGGGTGGTAGTGGGAAGAAGGTCCTCAGGGGGCATCAGACAGTCCGTATCATTAAATGTTGCCTCACAGTCTATCGGAAACACCCAGATATCTGAACAAGCAGCATCTATGGCTGTAAATGGAAAACGAAAAACAGATATTAATGCGTTTTAAAAATAAATATATAAATAAATGTTGAGCAAGTCTGTACTAAATTATTACTGCGTTTTCGACGCTATATTAATGCGTTTTAAAAACAAAGTATATAAATAAATGTTGAGTAAGTCTGTATTCAATTATTACTGCGTTTTCAATGCGTTAAAAATATAAATAAAAATAAACGTTGAGTAAGTCTGTTCTACTCGGTTTCACATCTATCATACACAAAAATACTAATTAAAACTTTCCAATTTAATTAAATGGAAGCATATTAAATATACTTTAACTTAGGGTTTTCGACTAAAATTATCGATTTGGAACTTAAAATGTCGGTCAACTAGGTTAGTGTCTGTTCTCATGTGGAGATAAGTGAGTAAGTTTAATATGACACCCGCATCAATGCTGTAAAATAAACATGAGAATGTTTCACCTACCTTCACAAACGCTTCTACATGGCAGCGTTATGTTACCATTGTCGCACTTCGGGAAGAAAAGTCCACAGTAGAAGAACTTGGATAACGGTGAACACGCACGGGCCACTGTTGCTAAAGCGAACTTTTGAAAGACCGATATGGTACCTTCCATGGTAGTGGAAAATAAGGTCGGGAGCGCTGTTTCGTTGAAGTCTTCCTCGTTGCAGAATTCGTAGTCGACTCGGTGACATGCATCTGGTGCTGGAGTGGTCATATCGACGTGTTTAGGAGTCACACATTGGGTTGAGTTGTAACCCGGGTACTGACAGCTCAGCGGAAATGGCATGTTTGCCTCACAGGAAGTAGTTACATCTGAAAATATAAAGCGAAAGTAAATTTTTAAATTAAGTGTGCTTATAAATGAAAGTGTTGTGCGAGAGTTCAGAGATTACTACCAAAATTACAAAACATTTGTGTTCAATAATTGAATTCCTCAAACAAGAGGCATTCTAGAAAAGGCAAAAACGCCCTGCATGACACACAACACCGATCATGACACCACCTTTAACCCCTACTCAACACACACTTGATCATTTCAGGACAAACATATTAGGAACCCAGAGAATCCACAGAAAACCAATGAAATGGAATGGGGTATGACGCCCTACAGTGTGCTATGAGGGAAATTCCAACCGCCAAGGGATCTTTTACGTGCACGCCAATGTGTACACGGGACCACAGAAAACCAAGTGGATGGGCATATATTACTGTATTGACGACCGACGATTAATTTAAAAATTCCTATAATTATATGGATGAAAAAAAAAACCCTCTCGGTGATATTAAGAATCTGACCAACTGTTTTAATACCAGAACTTATAAATCGTTTTTAGCGATCTTGGGACAAAGAGTTGTTGGAATTTTTATAATAGTTTCCTTTAATTTAAATTTCCTACAATCTTACTAATAAAGAAGCGGAATTCAGTTTCTATTCAATTAGCATTCACGCAAACTGTGACACGGATAAACTGCATTGATAAAGAAACGGAATTCAGAAAGTAACCAACCCACCTTCACATACACTACCACAAGGATAAATGGCCACTTCTGTTCCTTCAACTTCTTCACACTGTGGAAAGACGAAGTTACAGAAGAAGAACAAGCTATCCATGGAGCAACCACTTTCAATGGTCCTGTTAAAATACAGCTGGAAATTCGTCACAGCGGATGCGATGTTCTGATCGTAGAAGAAATTGGGCAGCAGAGTAAATTTGTTGCCGAACTGGCGACACAAGTCATAATCCTGGTAAACACATCTTGCTGAAATAATATATAATTATTTAGTGTTAGAAAATAGAAAATTCGTTTATGGCCTTGGGTGACTAATTAGGAGAGAGAGAGAGAGAGAGAGAGAGAGAGAGAGAGAGAGAGAAAAGGGTTTTAACGTCCACTTGACACAAACTAGGTCATTTCTCGACTAACATATGGTTTAATTTTATATCAATAATCCGCTTGCGTGTAGGGGTCGTTAGCAGTGGGAGGAAACCGGAGAACCCGGAGAAAACCCATGAGGTTGGACAGGCGAGCCTACTCCTTGTCACGTACAACCGGTGAATCGAAACCACGCCAGTTGACTCAATGACAGACTTTATGATACAGCGCGCACACGCTAACCATTTATATGTATAATCAAACAGCATCATAAATCACGTTTTCATTGATTTGGAAGTGAACCAAGCTCTGAAAAGGACTACGCCACCCATTAACGATGATCAAAAATAGATTCAGATTGGAAACACCTCGTATAAAATAAGGTGTTCCAATTTTTATTGCCAGGTTTAAAAACCAAAAAAGCTGTACTCTTCCGGACACCTGTTACCACTGTTTGTCGTGTATTTTGTACACAATGAACAGTCCATTTGCCTATTCCGTTTTTTTAGGACTTCTAAATTTGTCTAATGGTTTGGATTGTTCGTACTTGGTTTTATTTTATTTATAAGTGAGCTATTAAATTCACATAACATCTAATATATGCTGTGTTCGATGTTTAAAAATGAAATGAAATGAAATTGGGTTTAACGTCCTACTGTTCTGCTCGACTGGGCTTATGAAGACGGACATACGCCAGACAGTGTGCTATGAGGGAAATTTTGCCCGGGCAGCGGCACTATGGCCTACTCTTATATCGAATTCCAACTGGCAAGGGATCTTCTACGTGCACGCCAATGTGTACACGGGACCTCGGTTTTCCACCCCATCTGTCAGGCTAGAAGATAGCAGCCTAGATACATTGTCTTGACAACATTCAAAAGATGTGTTCCCCAAAAACTTTTATCTACGGCCTGGATTTTCAAAGGCTGTTGTAGTAGCAATTGTTACTTTTGGTAAACCGTTTGTGAAACTGGTTCCCTGTGTGTTAAGCTTACTTGATTTACTTGTGGTTGCAGCAGTTGGGATAGTTGTGGTTGATAACTGACTGGTAGTTCCTGTCATTGTTGTTGATACTTCTGTTCCGTTAAAAGAATCTGTAGTATTACTAGCTGGTTGTGCAGTGGTTGTCAAAGAATCCTTTGTTGTGGTGCTCAAGGATTCTGTGGTATTGCTGGATGGTTTTGCAGTGGTTGAAGCAACATTCTCTGTTGTTTCTGTTACGTTAAATGATTGTGTGGTATTACTAGTTGGTTGTACAGTGGTTGAAGTAACATACTCTGTTGTGGTGCTAAATGATTCTGTGGTATTAGTGTTGGGTGCTGTTGTGGTATTGTTGGATGGCTGCTCGGTGTCTGTTGTGTTCGTGGTCATTGGTAGCCATGTGGTTGAGACAGCATCTGTTGTGGTATTGAATGGTTCTTCCGTACTATTAATGAGTTGAGTTGTACCTGTTGAAGCCAAGGATGAGGTTGTAAGCCCCACAGAATCTGTGGTTACATTACCTTGTGGTTGTGGAGTTGTTGATGTAGCTAGTGACATGGTGGTTGATATTGATTTGGTAGTTGGTAACATAGTGGTTGGTTGTGGTTTACCTGAAGAGAAGTAAAAATTTGATTTTGCTAGAACTACTAAATTAGCACATAGAATAGTTATTTGGGGATCGACGGAGTTCATTACTGTCGAATTATTGATGGTTGCTATGGGATTTATATTCAAATTCTTTACTTTCTTAAATCATTGACTCATCAGATACAAATAAAATAAGTAATAATATATAAAGGCCATATAAGTCCTCCGCCATCAATTCAAGCACCCATGAAAATTGAACGAAAACAAAAATAAACAAATAGGGCAAGCAACTATTTAGTAATTGTTTTTCTGTAGTTGTTGAATCCAGACTAGTGCCCCGAAAAAGGCCACCGCCGCCAATCCAACCCTTGTCCCACACGCAAAGGAAAAAAACCCAAACCCTGTAGTGTTTCTCTCAGGGTTAGAGTCGTTTAGTTAACTTCATATGCAATACAAGAATGTGTTCTGTAAAATTGATAAGGAATATATACCTATGATGATGATGGATGTAACGTTGATAGGTAGAGTGGTCTCCCCTTCCTCTATGATTGACTGTATGAGAGGTGCGTATCTATCATCAGTTTCTGTTGCATTTGTTGTAGGCGGTACATAATCGATTAGATTTCTTGAAAACTTTAAGCTAAAATTTACTGTATAGTTTTCCGTACTGTAATCAGAAAAAAAATAGTGTTATGCTGGTGGGCATATTTTGCTGTAGTCGGGACCGGATCAAGGGGCCCAAAGAGCTTATAGTTAAATGAAATGAGGTCTAATGTCCTACTGTTCTACACCGACTGGGCTAATGAAGACGGACATACGCCATACAGTGTGCTATGGCGGCAATTTTGCCCCCTCAGCGGCGCTAAGGCCTACTCTTATATCGAATTCCAACTGCTAAGGGATCTTTTACATGCACGCCAATCCAAACTATTAGACAGTTGTCCTGACACAATGACTGATAAAGACTAGAGAATCTTCCAACTGCTAAGGGGTCTTTTACGTGCACGCCAATCCAAACGATTAGACAGCTGTCCTTGTCAGTCCCTCCGTCCTGCACCTCTGACAAGGGAAACCACAATGACTGATAAATCTTAATGGAAACTGTTACTCAGTAATAAAGAGCAATTGCATTTCAGAGAATTGTTTTCTGTATATTTCAAGTTCAATTACTCAATGTCACTGAAATGTTTCAAAATTAGTCCCGAAATGACCTGATTTATGTAAAGTGGACTTTAAACCCCATCTATTAGCACCAGATAGTCTCTATTTCTATTTCCAAAACTCCCGCAGCCAAAACATCCGTTGTCGAAACGTCTGTAGTCAAGACCTCCGTGGCCGAAACCTTCGTAGCCAAAATTTCGTCGACCGAAACAGAAACCTCTATGGTCAAAACGTCGATGGTCAAAACCCCACCAAAAAACTTCTGTAGCCAAAACATCCGCGATCGCAACCTCCGTAGCCAAAACATCCGTGGTCGAAACCTCCGTAGCCAAAAACTCGATGGCGAAACCTCCGTAGCCAAAAACTCGGTGACCGAAATCTCTGCAGTCACAACATCCATGATCGAAACCCCCTTAACCAAAAACCCATCGAAATCTCCATAACAAAAGACTGGGTGGCCGAAACCCCCTTGGCCGAAACGTATGCCACACTACGTGTGAAAATGCATTAGTAAAAGTTACCTGTAATTATTCACAGTTGCAGAGACGAAAGAGTCGTTTAGGGGACTTTTCTTCATTACTTCTTTCATCTGAAAATATAAACACATAAGTTCGTAAACTGGAAATATTGTAGGCTTTAAAGTACACCCCTGTTTCGGGACTAACATAAGGCTCAATTTTATTTCAATAACTGGCTTGTGCGTAAGAGTCTCTTTAGCAGTGGAGGGACACCGGAGGACCCGAAGGCTGGACAGGCGATCCTACTCCTTGTCAAGTACAAGCGGGGAATCGAAGCCACGCCACTTGACTCAATTACAGACCTTTTGTTCCAACGCGCAGTCCTGGGCGGACTTAAAAACTTTGTGGGCATCGCTATAATTTTAAATTGCCTAGTGGTCTGGACACGATAATATAAAGCATAATCATTTCCAGAATATCCGACAATTCGAACAATTTACTTACTTCATTTGTAAAATTTTGGTTCAATGAATCGATGGTACCTGGCCATGGCTGCGACAAACGCAGGCTTCCCAAATATGTGATTTGATCTGAAACGAAACAAATGAATTAATTGTAACGATGGGTGTCAATAATCCAGTCAACTATCATGCCAGTAATATAGCCTCGATTAACTTGTAAAAATATGCATCCATACTAATTGGTTTAGTTCGTAATTGTAACCATATAATGTGCTGAAACAATGTGGCAACACATTTTTCAGATAGGAGCCCAGAAGATGTCAAAGGCCCATCGGTACCGAATTTAAAAAAAAGGCTAATATATTTGTATTCAAAATGAATTTATTTTCCTCTTGAAAACCACTGGAAAATATAAACTCATGAAATTGATCTAGTTTCGTTTTCTCATCATGTCACGTATTCTTGACCGCAGTGGGGACCAGGTCAACCAGTTGGTCGGATGGTCCAGGGATGCCTAGTCTGCCTCTGTTTATGACTACATCATACTTATATTAATACTATCGTTATAATTTAGTCCTAGAATCTAACATCTCTTAAGTGACCGTCAAAACTAGATAATGTAAAGGGAATTTGCTGAAAATTTCAGTCGATAAAAAACATAGTCTCGATTATCCATTTCATGATTAAATAATGAATGAAAGTTGAGCAGCAAATCGGATCCTAATCCAGTAAATATCGCAGGCTAGCGATGCCATCGAGAGTTGATTATGGTCTGGATAAGTTAATTAATAATTTAGATAACATTTCAGGCCTAAAGAAAGACCTGCAATTGACAGATTTAGCTCTTGCATGATGTTTGTTTAAGTAACTCTCTTTTAATTGATGAACTCACTAACCCAGAGGTTATTGTTTAGGATACAAGTGTTGATATTTTGAGACAGTCCCTAATGGAATGATTTGAATTTGTATAGCCAACTATATTACCTGATGATGTGGTGGTGGACGGAAGTGGTGATGGTGTTGTTGTTGCGAATGATTCTGAAAATGAGAACATAAATATAATTAAGACAATCCTTTTCTTCTACATGTGTTATTAAAGTGTTTTGCTGTCGTGGCTTATAGACATTCCATTCGGTACCACGGAGCCACGGTGGCTCAGAGAGTAAGATGTTGGCTCGCTAACCTGGAGGTTTCGTATTCGATCCCTGCGTTGGCCGAGAAAGTCCATCGGGCTTTTCCGGCGCGGTTCCCTCTTGTGTATGACGGAGTGTCTGGCAAGGGATAACGTATCATTAAGAGTCCAAATTAAAGACGCATTATGGAAGATTAGATAAAGAGCTGGCAGTTCTCGCTATAATAGTTAAAAAATAGATCATGTAAAGAGAATATGCTGAACATTTCAGTCAAATTATTTCACTCTGAGCCGAGTAAACCTCATTTTAATAACACTGTAGCCTCGATTATCATTTTTACCGTTGTAATCATCAACAGCCGTTGAACCGCATATAGAATTCAAATCTGTTTAAAATCGGATCCATCAGATGGCATCCAAAGTTGACTCAATGACAGACCCTATGATACAACGGGCACGCACTAACCATTCGGCCATTCACCCCCCCCCCCCCCATGACCATAGTACATGTTTTAACCCCATGTAAGAGTTGGGTGTGGTTTTTATTTTTGTGTATATCAACACCAAGATTGCCACGTTAAATTGCTTAAAAAAAAATAATAATAAAAATAAAATAAGAGACAGAAAACAAAATAAATTTTACTCAATGTTACTTGAAATTTGATCCACTAGCGAACAAGATATGGATTGTTCAAATTTATTCAATTTAAATTTGAATGAGTAGCTTTTTTAAAAACTATTAGGAGTTGAGCATACCAGTTGGTTTCAAATTTCTGCTGAAGTCGTTTCAAGGCTTTGTTCGCTTGAATAACTTATTTATTTTTAATTTGTATGCCAGCTATTTTTCTTTGACTTTTGAATTAAGGATTCAAATTTTATGTAATGTTAACGACTTTTCTATTGTTAATACAAGGGTGTAATTTGGTGCTGATTTAGAGCGACAGCATACAAATAAAGGCTACCCGCAGATCTTTTCATCAACGTTGAAATAAGTTAATTCAAATTGTTAGACACACCAAAAAAATGGGTTCGAATTCTGTCTGATGGGAAAAAAAATTACACGTTGTGCAAAACGTTCTAGATAATCCAACCGCCTGTGTTTAAAACGTTCTAGATCACCGAACCGCCTTTGTTTAAAACGTTCTAGATCATCGAACTGCTTGTGTTTAAAATGTCCTAGATAATTTAACCGCCTTTGGTTAAAACGTTGTAGATAATCCAACCAACTTTGTTTACAAAGTTCTAGATCACCGAACCGCCTTTGTTTAAAACGTTCTAGATCATCGAACTGCTTGTGTTTAAAATGTCCTAGATAATATAACCGCCTTTGGTTAAAACGTTCTAGATAATCCAACCAACTCTGTTTGGAACGTTCTAGATCACCGAACCGCCTTTGTTTATAACGTTCTAGATCATCGAACCGCCTGTGTTTAAAAACGTTCTCGATAATCCAACCGCCTTTTGGTATTGAATGTGAAAACAAAATAAAATTAACCAAAAGCTAATCTAAAGATTACCGAAATAAAGGGCAGCTTTCTAGTCGTTCGGATGGAACGAAAAGCCGAGGTCCCGTGTATACAGTGGAGTGCACGTAAAAGATCCCCTGGCAGTTTGAATTCGATATAAGAGTAGGCAATAGTGTCGATTCCCGGGCAAAATTTCCCATATTGCACACTGTATGGTGTATGCCCGTCGTCATTATCCCAGTCGAAGCAGAACAGTAGAACGTTAAACCCCATTTCATTTCATTTACCGAAATAATTTAATTTACAATAAGAGAATAACCATCACTAAACTGGGTATTTTCAGGTACACATGAATAAATTAAACTTTATATTTACACTAAATTTATAAAATACTTGCACATTTTCTGCTTTCATCTAATTAAATTATGTTTACATACTTTCAGACCTAAATTTCGTATAGATAAATTTTAAATGAAATTAGGAGCTTTTTATGTTTAAGGGATGTACATTTCATTTAAAATTATATACATATTTAAACATTTAACATGTACACAATTGCATTTTTTCCGAGGAATTTAATTGCAATTATGACTCACGTGACCCTGACACCGTGAGAAATTTGGAATTCTAATGTTTAAAATTGTAATTTTAATGCTTAAAATCGTCAGTTTAAATTACTAACATCTACCGTTTAGACATAAATAATGAGATGTTAGGTGCGTCGCATCATGACTAAAAAGGGTAATTTTGAAATGGATTGTGCATTTTGGAATTAAAATGCTATGGATATATTTGTTATGCGGGGGAGACGGATATTTATAACCGCCAATTTAGCATACTTATACCTGTGAATTCTACAATCCTTTATATTACAATTTTGAATTTTATATCTAATTATTCTTTGGACGAAACAAAAGTACAATAGAATTAAATTACTCTGTTGTTGTATAAAAATCACTCTTGGGTCGATAGTGTAGTCGAATTCAAACTGCCAAGGGATCTTTTACGTGCCCTCCACTGTATACACGGGACCTCGACTTTTCGTCCCATCCGAACGACTAGACAGCTGTCTTTGTTTATTTCGTTAATCTTTAGATTATCTTTCGGTTAATTTTATTTTTTGTCTATATTCAATCGAATTTTGTTTGTTTTTACATTCAATACCAAAAGGCTGTTAGATTATCTAGAGCGTTGTAAACAAAGGCGGTTGAATTATCTAGAACGTTTTGCACAACGTGTATGTTTTTTTCCCATCAGACAGAATTCGAACCCATTTTTTTGATGTGTCTGACATTAAAATAACGTTAAACCCCATTTCATTTTATTTCCTTATACGACTCTTGGAAGTCGAATTTGAAAACTTCTTGGCCCATACCGGGAATCGAACGCGGTATATTCTAGTCTCTAGTGCCTTACAGCACGACCCTATAGTATACAGTGCCCTTACCGGGCGGATACCACGATTCTACAGTATACAGTGCCCTATCCGGACGACTACCACGACCCTCTAGTATACAGTGTAACATGCTTGAATAAACAAAACACCTAAGTGTTAGATAGTATAATAATATATTAATATGAGATTATAGGGTAGAATTCAAAGCTCGCGTACCATAACACGACACCCTTACATATTCTTTATCTGATCTTATTTACAAAGACATGACCGCGACAATAGAATAGGTATGGCTACAATATCGCCCCTTGCTGATTACAGTTCAAGAATGTAATAAAGGCTTTCGAGGTAAAGTTTTTATTGACATTCTCGCTGTTTGACTGGGAATAATCCTATAGCCATTCATTGTTATTTTCGCTTTGAAAATAATGTAATATGACATTAATAACGTAATTTAACTTCAATAGAAGTGAGCAGCGACAACAAGATTCGTCGTCCTCAAACACAAATCACACCAGATAAAGTTATGTTTGATGAGGCTCAAGGCATAATCTTTGTGGAATAAATCGTCCCAGACAACTTTTGTAATTATATTTTATTCGCCTTAAGAAATAAACTTTGAGAAATAAATCATGTGAGAAAAATTTTGTAATTATTTGTTTTTTTCGTCGTCTCTAGAAAAAATTCTGGCAATAAATAAATCATCACTGGCAACATTTCTAATTTATGTTTTTGTAAGCTAAAGAGTAAATGTGTTTATGGTTGTTTTATTTTGATTTTCTATATTACCGGGACAAATTTCCGCCATTTCAATGAAAGAATCGAGTGGGAGTTTATATTAATTACGCTCGTGTTTTGATGTAATAAAATACTTCGGGAAATATTCATCCGTTTTATTCTAGGTAGGTATATTTATGTTAGGCGTCCTAGTTGAGCAGTTTGCATAAATTATTTTTTTTCTTTTATTATGTTCTTGACCCATAACCCTTTTCTCCGATGACTGATGATATCAGCTATTTTTCCTTTTATTTCGAAAACAATTTAAGAACCGAAATAAAAATTTAAAAAGAAGAAACAAAATAAAAAACGGCTATAAAAGAAAATCTTTCTTATTTGTCATTTTTTTTATAATTTTGAATTATAATTCCAGATTAATAATATATTGTTATAATTTGAAATTTTGATCAGTAAAATTACGATTATCTTGCACGTAGCGTTAAGAATTCTTTAAAAAATAATTCAGCCATACAGTAAATCAGAACTACGCTATGAATTCAAATAATTTCAATTAAATTAATAGTCTTTTCTAAGTAGTCCTGCGAAACGTATTGGTATGGAAGTCCATTTCCTATTTCTTGATTTTCTCGATTGTTTTACAATTAATATTAACCACATAGGCAGTAGATCCACATGCTATGTCTTAATACTGGAAATACCTTAAAAACAGGTGCTTCTTTTCGATATCTTGCAACGAGACGTCAGAACACCCCTACACAGATACTGTTATGCACGTACGTTTTCTATTTCTATATTTTACCGCAATTAATATTGAACGTATATGCATTATATGTACTTGACATTTCTTAATATTGAAAACACCTTTTACGAAACGGCAATACCGCCCTTCCCATACATTGTTATGCACGTACGTTTTCTATTTGCATATATTGTCACAATTAATATTTAACATATATGCACTACACGTACTTCACATTTCTTAATATTTGAAACACCCTTTGAACGCAGGGCGCATCTTTTGTATATGTTACAACGAAGCGTCAATATCGTCCTTCCCATACATTATTATGCACGTACGTTTTCTATTTTTACATTTTGTCACAATTAATCTATGCATCAAATGTACTTGAAATTTCTTAATATTGGGAATATCTTAAAGGGTTTGGTAAGAATAGGTTATATAAATATTTAATTTCTACGTAATTCTATATGTAATTTGAATACAGCGGGGATAATTTAAGATGTTTCATAACAAAATAATGTTCAAGCCTTTGCAATGTCAGTTTTATAAGAAAACAGCTCATCCTTGAAAATTAATTATAGTTTTTGAATAGATGCTATCTATAATCGTAGCTGTCAACAGTCGTAATAAAAAAGAAAAGCGCATTACCGTGATCATTGAAGCATTAAACTGACTTCAGCAATCTAACATTCCTTTCATCACAGTTTTGCTACGTCATGGATGATGACGTTATTTTTTGTTATGGTTTACCTTTTATGGTCACAGTTTTCAACCAAATTATTTTTGAATTTGAATATTTGAAATACTTAATACAGATATAGCTTAGTTGTTGTAGATCTCTCGATCAGTAAATATAATTATTATAGTCGAAGAAATCCATCGAAACATAAGTGAAGAATTACTGTTTACTGAGATACGTTTTGACTAGAATTGTCTAGGTTTTATAAGCAATTGTATTAAATAGAATTTCTGAGTATTACACTCTAGTTGTTTTTATCAAGTAATCGTTTTTCATAGAATTGTCAGTAATAATCAGTAATTAATAATAATCGGTAATTATATTTCATGGATTTATTCAGTAATAAATAGTAATTAGTAATAATCAGTAATGATTTTTCATAGAATTACTCTGTACACTGTAATTGGTAATTATCAGTAATTAGTAATAATCAGTAATGATGTTTCGTAGAATTACTCAGTAAGAAAAAGTAATTATATTTCATGGACTTGTTCAGTAATAATCAGTAATTTGTACTAATCAGTAATTTGTACTAATCAGTAATTTGTAATTATCAGCAATTTGTAATAATCAGTAATTTGTAATAGTCAGTAATTTGTAATAACCAGTAGTTTTTAATAGTCAGTAATTTGTAATAGTCAGTAATTTGTAATAGCCAGTAATAATATTCCATGAAATTATTCAATAATAATCAGTAATTTTACTGATAATCAGTAACTAGTAATAAGCAGTTTTATTTCAACGAATTACTCAGTAGTAATCAGTAATTAATAATAATATTTCATCAAAGTACTCAGTAATAAATAGTAAATGTATTCCATAGAATCGTGTCCAATGTATTAATATATGCAGTTAGAACATAAACTAAAGTTTTTTTTATTTATGCTCAAGGGTTCACCTAGGAAAACAGGACCCTAATTATATTGCATAATTGAGAAGATCTGCAAGACCTAAGATTTACGTGTAGCGAGTAATTCAAACAATCCAATAAATAAAGGTCGCCAGTCCGGGTCATCCGATTTCCTCCCACTTCTAAAGACACCTACGCACAAGGGAATTATTGAAATAAAATTGAACCATGTGTTAGTCCCGAAATGACCTAGTTTGTGTGGAGTGGACGTTAAACCCCGTTTCTCTCTCTCCGCCTCTCTTTCTCTCCAAGAAATGAAATGAAATAGGGTTTAGCGCCCAACTAAATGTCATTGAATAAATAAATACATTAAATATGATCGGGTCAGTTCAGTTTTGTTTTCAAAATTAAAATAAGAACGGAGAATGAATAGACATTTTATCCTATTTCATGTAGCAATATCTCAGCTGAGTATGAACAAATTGAGAAAATATGACTTTGACGTATCCTCTTTAGCGCGTGCCCAGGATATCCTGATCAACATACCATACGACCATACCAGACGACCAATCATACAGAACTGCGACGAAGCTGACCGTTCCGTGACGTTACTTTAACCACAAAGAGAGTATTAGTAATCAATGTTACGTCTACCTGTAAAACACAGTCTCTTTTGTGTTGCTCTTTAACAAACTGTCACGTGTCTATTTTTATAAATGGAATTGGGTTTAACGTCCTATTGACGACGGGCATACGGCATACAGTATGCTATGAGGGAACTGTTCACGGACAGCGGCACTACGGCCTACTTTTCTATCGAAATCCAAATGACAAGGGATCTTTTACGTACACGTCATTATGTACAAGGGACTTATTCTTATTTTGAATTCCTACTGTCAACAGTTAGCTGTTCTTTTACATGCACGCCAACGTGTACACGGGGTCTGGGGCTTTTTGTCCAATCCGAAAGCCTAGACACTGTCGTTGCCAGGCCACCCGTCATGCACCACTGACAAGGACCAGGATCGAGACCCGGACTTCCTGGGGCCTGTTTCACGAAATTTTAACTAAGACAAAATCCAGAGTTTTGTAATTTGATTGGATAATATTAGATTGATTTTAGTGCTTAGCCAATCAAAATTGAAGTATCTACTAAAATTTGGATTTTATCTTTAGTTAAGATTTTGAGAAACAGGGCCCTGGTTAGCGAACCAACGTCTTACTCACTCAGCCACCGTAACCCATTCAACCATAAATAGAGCAATAGTATTCGATGTTACGTCTATCTCTAAATGGGCTAATGAAGACGGACATACTTCCATACAGTGTGCTATGAGGGAAATTGTGTCCGGGCTATATGGCCTACTCTTACATCCATCTGCTAAGGGATCTTTTAAGTGCACACCGATGTATATACAGGACCTCGGTTTTTGTACCATCCGAACGACACGTCTATCTCTAAAACAAAATCGTTGCTGTGTTGCCCTTTAACATTTAATCGATTTCGAAATTGTCACGTGTCTTTTTGTAAAGTATAATTTATGTATGGTAAAGGTTTGTTATTTAAATACTGGTCTGTATTAATACACAAGCTAATATAAATTAGAATGCCATGTTGTACGGTATCAAATATTTGTTTATTGCGCAAATTCAAATAGTGCATACAAAGGAATTACCACCCGCTATGTATCAGAATATGTAAATGAAATGAAATGAAATGAGGTTTAACGTTCTATTGTTCTGCTCCGGCTGGGCTAATGAAGACAGGCATACGTCATACACTGTGCTATGAGGTAAATTTTGCTCGGACAGCTGCGCTAACTCCTACTCTTATATCGAATTCCAACTGCCAGGGGGTATTTTATGTGCACGCCAATGTCTACACGGAACCTCGGTTTTTCGTGCCATCCGAACGACTAGACAGCTGTCCTTGTCAGACCCTCCATCCTGCACCACTGGCAAGGGGAAGAAACCACGTCTGAATGGTAGAAAGATTTCAAATCTGTCACAGGTTATAACGACCCCTTAAAATATGCAATTAACCACCAATGTAAATAAAAGGAGGGCCGCAAATATTTCAAAGTAAACATTAAAAATGGCGTCTGGTCGGCCATATTGGATTTTAAGTAACATACTGCTTACCTTGTTGCGAGAGAATGACGCCAACGGCAGTGCCTATAGCTAATCCTAATAACAAAACACAGCCCAATACTATTAATATCACATCTCGGCAACGTATATTTTTCGAAGACCATGATTTCTTTTCTTTCGAGCTCGATGACGCGCCAGGGGTCCGAGGAGGGGGTGCAAAAGACACATCTTCAAACATGGATTCCCTTTTGTCAGAGTTATTTCCCCTGTTATTGAGATATCTGCCATGAATAGGCTCTGTTGCTACATTGTCACTGATATAAGCTATATTTGTGTGTCCTGGGGACTCTAGACCTTCTTCATCTGACACGTTATACTTCTGAAAATACAATGAACAATGATAAATACGAATACATTCCTGTGGAAATAAAAACATAAATGCAGAATCTCAGGGGAGTGCGGGGGGGGGGGGGTGGGTGGCCGAATGGCTAGCGCGTTGTATCATAAGGTCTGTCATTGAGTCAACTGGCGTGGTTTCGATACCCCGGTTGTACCTGACAAGGGGTTGGGCCGCCTGTCCAACCTCGTGGGTTTTCTCCGGATCCTCCGGTTTCCTCTCACTGCTAAAGACCCCTACGCGCAAGCGAATTATTGAACAGGCGACCCTACTCCTTGTCACGTACAAATCGAAACCACGTCACTTAACTGAATGGCAGACCTTATGATGCAACGCACACGCGTTAACCATTTGCCTCCCTCCCCCTCCCGGTCTAAAAGAGAATTAATAAAAAAAACATACATAATCAATGCATATTGTAACATTTGTGATAACAAATCGTCATACAAATTATGATACGTATTGTAATAATTCGTTAAGGAAGCCATGGCCGTACCGTAGACACGAGTATCTATAAACAATCGTAGCACAACATTATAATAGATTTAATAGAGAAAATTAATAAACAAAGCAAACCAAATTAACCGAAGGGGACCGGTTTTATGATGCTACCTTCATTTGACAGTACGTAACCAGTTCCATGCAAATCATTTATCAAATTATAGTTTTAACGTTCACTCTATGAAAATATAACTATTTGGCTGTAATTTCTTAGATACAGCAGGCCCCAGGTTCACAAAGCATTACTCAAAATTGTTCGCTTAATTAAAATATAGCCTTTTATAATAAAACTTGTGTTATTTTAATGTATTAAATACACCAATAAGAAACTATGTGCAAAGTTTTGTGTTTCTGGATCAAAGCTATTTCTTGTAAATAGTCATTTTGAGTAAATTCTTAACATAAGTGGCTCTAAAAAGGACTCTACAGCTTGAAATCTTACTTTAATAAATTCAAAGACAGAAGACCAGGAGCCGGTTGTTCAAAGCTCTGTTAGTTTTGAGCAACCGGCCCCATGAAATCATGAAAAAAGTAACATTGTGCTTGCCTGCCCTTACAACGAATGGGATTTAACGTCACAATTTTCTGTCGTATATCATGGTGTGTACTCGGAGCTTGATGTTCTATTACATATTTATTAACGTGATGCGCAATTTTCGAATTCTAAGCAAACAGGACGTAAATATGTTATGTGGACATTGCTCGATCGCCTCATCAGGGTGTCAACCAGTAGCATTGTATGCAATGCATATATAACACAGTTACCGTTATTCACTTATACATACGTCACACGCATGTTGTGAATCAATGTAAGTATGACATGCGTATTGATAAAAGGATATTATAGTTTATTTGTACGTGATTCTGTCGCAATGTTCAGATAAACGTAGTCGACTCTATATTTAGCTTATAGGGTATTTCACTAGTTGTATACGTGATAAGAAGTTAAGTCGCCTACATAACACTCATAGAGAGAAAGAGAGAGAGAGAGAGAGAGAGACAGACAGATAGACAGAGAGAGAGAGAGAGAGAGAGGGAGGGAGGGGTGCAAGGCAACAAACCGGGAGACAGTGGGGTGCAAGGCAATAGGGAGACAGGGAGGTGCAAGGCAATAGGGAGGCAGAAGTGAGATTTAACGTCCACTCGACACAAACTAAGTCATTTCGGAACTAACATATGGGTCAATTTTATTTCAATAATTCGCTTGCGCGTAGGGGTCTTTAGCAGTGGGAGGAACCCGGAGGACCCGGAGAAAATCCAAGGTGTTGGACACGCGACCCTACTCCGTATCATGTACAAGCAGGGAATCGATACCACGCCACTTATGACAGATCTTATGATGCAACGCAAACGCTTTAACCCACTAGCCCTCCATTTGAAGTTTACATTAGTTTCTATTCAATGTATGTGCCTGATACAATTTGACAATAAATGTAACGAGAAAGGATGCCAAGGCTACCGGTTTATGATATGTTATGGGGCAAAAATATTCGCCACCACTGAATATTATAAATACTAAGGAACGCGTTAATCGTGAGAGGTGAATTAAGGTTATCTCATTTTCTGATTACTACAACTTAGGAATTTGGGTTAACTTTAAAAAAAAACACACCTTGCCCTTGAAAAGATAGTTTTTCTTTAACATTCTTAAGCGGTTTAAGAATATCTCATTTTCTGATTACTACCTATAACTTTACTACCTGGGTTTACTGTTTTAAAAAAAATAATATTGCCCTTGAAAAGAAAGTTTTTCTTCAACATTCTTAAGCGGTTACGTTAGACTATTATTGGGCATGGTGAAAATGTTATTGAAGGAGGACATACCGTGACTTGTAAAAAATTCAATTAATGTGACACCTAATACTAATGTATGCTATCACTGAGCTTCAAAACGTGGGCTTGTGTAATGATGTTTTTGTTGCTGTTTGACGCTTGAAAATATCACATGCATACATCCAAGAAATTGGGTTAATACTCTATTGCCCTCAGGTTATGAGAGAGAGAAGAGAGAGAGAGTGAGAGAGAGAGAGAGAGAGGTATAACATCCACTCGACACAAACTAGCTCTTTTCGGGACTAACATATGGTTCAATTTTATTTCAATAATTCGCTTACGCGTAGGGACCCGCGGAAAACCCGCGAGGTTGGACAGGCGACCTTACTCCTTGTCACGTACAACCCGGGGAATCGAAACCACGCCATTTGACTCAATAACAGGCCTTATGATTCAACGCGCACGCGCTAACCATTCGGCCATTCAACCCCCTTCAGGATTTGACGCTTGAAAATATAACATCATATCCAAGAAACTGGGTTAATAAACTATTTAGAGTTTTACCCTCAGGTTATATGCAGTTGTATTATATAGTATATATCATTAGGCATTATTGTGTGATATAAAAGTATTTTACTTTAGGTATTAGTGTAGACATGGATAGACATGAATCAATGTGCATAATGAATAGCTCTACTTATGTACATGCATACACCATTAATTAAACATACATTATGCAAGAGCTAAATCTGTCTATTGCAGGTCTTTCTTTAGGCCTGAAATGTTATCTAAATTATTAGACATTAATTAACCTATCCAGAACATAAACTCTAGATGGCATCGCTAGCCTTCGATCTTTAGTGGATAATGAGCCGATTTACTGCGTAATGATAGGGGTTTGGGTGACGGTGAAATAGAAAGAAATGGGGTTTAATGCCCTACTGTGCTGCCCCGACTGGGCTAATGAACACTGGCATCCACCATACAGTGTGCTATGAGGGAGAGTTTTCCCGCTCAGCGGCACTATGGCCTACTCTTATATCGAATACCAACTGCCAAGGGATCTTCTACGTGCACGCCAACGTATACACGGGACCTCGGTTTTTCGTCACATCCGAACGACTCGACAGCTGTCCTTGTCAGGCCCTCCGTCCTGCATCACTGACAAGGGGGGAAACCACGCCGGAATATCCCGATGAACTTTCACGGCCAATGCAGGAATCGAACACGCGACCTCCAGACTAGCGAACCAGCGTCTTATCCCCAAAGTGGTATAACACTACGCAAGTGATGAGTTCGACCTGAGGTTTTTTCGTCTCAAGGAGTAGGATCACCTGCCTAATATCATGGGCTTTTCGCCGGGTAATCCGGTTTTCCCCATGAGAATTATGTAATGAAATTATACCACGCCTTAGTCGGAAATGACCTTGTTAACCTCCTATACTACAGACGTAGGTGTTTACATACACAAACTATTTCTAGCCTCTGTATTCTAAATACGTCTCTGCTCCAAAACTATGTGAAGAGCCCCGAGGAAGAACGATCGAAGTCACTTTTTCAATGAACCCCAGTTAATGGCGCCATCTGGTAGCAAATTGTATAAGTATTCTGTGGAACAATTAATTTCAGGTAAAAACGATCGGAGTCAAATCGAACCAAGGCCCTTCTGAAATGGCCTCCCGGACAAATACGTGCATCGTACCCTTTATTTAACCTTAATTTGGCTGAAAAGTGGAAGTCAGTTGTTGTACTGGTAATTATGATTCGTATTAAACATTATTTTGAAGTTGTAATTAAATCCACTCGTTATTCTGTTCGCGTCAAGCATTCTCGTCCAAAATTCTGTTTTGCCTTTTATGCGTAAAGACAAAAATGTGACTTAGATCGTTCTTCCCCTGGACTCTTTATGTATATAGCGTATATAAAACGTAAAACAAAACCCAGATAATAATAATAATAATGGAATTCCTAAATATATAAACTTTAATCATTCTCTTTCCATAAACACTTGACTTTATCTACATATATTTATGTCCGTCCATATTTTTGTATCCGTCCAATTTTTTGCACTTGTATTTAATATTTTGTATATTGTATGTTGTCCTCAAGGGAGGTTCCGATGCAATACTGTGTGTCTTGTGTTATAATTGTCATATTGTTATAATTTTATGTACATGTTTATATTGTATGCTGTCCTCAATGGATGTTTCGATACAATAAAATCTTATCTTATCTTATATACAGTATATATTATAAAATCATACATAATAAGGTCAATTAAGAGCATTCGACTAGCTTATGATTTGAGGTATAATTCATGTATATGATATTATAACATCTGAAGATGGTCAATTAAGACAGCTAGCTTATGGGAGGGAGAGAGAAATGGGGTTTAACGTCCACTCGACACAAACTAGGTCATTTCGAGACTAACATATGGTTCAATTTTATTTCAACAATTCGCTTGTCCGTAAGGGTCTTTATCATAGCTTATGATATTGGAGTTATATCAGAAGGAAGAAGTAAAAGTGTAAATATGTCACAATTCTATGGAATACAATTACTGCTTATTACTAAGCCTGATCAAGCCATAGAATTGTGACCTGTTTATTACAGTTCAATTACTAAATGCCATTTTTATTTTTAACTGGAAATATTACTATTTTATATATTAACTTAATTATTACTAAATGCCATTAATATTTTTA